TGTGGGGGGAGGAGCTTGCTGAGGTCAGTGAATCAGGCAGGTGCCCGTCCAACCTGTACTCTTTCATGTTGGGCGCCAGGGCCCAGATGGGCATGGATGCGCAAGACGTGGAAGGCGACATGCCAGTGCTTCAACATCTGGGGAACAATGGGAGGAGTTTACAACTGCCAACAGCGACGCATCGAATGTCTTTGAAGTTGGGACGCCCTGTGACCCCAGATGAGTGTTTGCAGTTGCATTCCAAGATTGACGAGCACTTCGAGGACCCACTGTATAAGTGTCGGTTTGTCCCACTCATGCCAGACATGTTGGACTGGAGCGAAATCCCACCAAAGGCTGCTTTTGTAACTTGCAACCACAAGCGTGCCAACATTGAGAGGTTTGTGCCTGGGTATGTTTGCGATATTTACAAAGACTTGTACGTGGGCGCGTCATTCGCACACTGGTTCGTACTTGGCGATGAGCTTGATGACTTATTTCGCATTGGTGCTTTGGCGCACATGATTGGTTTCACATTTGCTCGGTCTATGATGCGTGCGAGGTGTGTAATTCAATTCGAGCATGGTCGGTGGGAGTGCGTTCGGGATGCCCCTCTTGTGAGAGAGTAATTGGTCGATGTGCTCAGCGGCGTCGTGCGCGGGCGCCCCGACGAGGACTGCCATTGTGTGTCATGCCCAGTGAGACGGTGCTATCCTAATTTTCGAACTGGTGTGTTTTCGGTGGCCGAGGTGTCTCGCTCGCTCCTTCGGAAGAGACTTCCCCGTGCCGACTGCGTCGACGAGGAGACGGCGGACGCTGGCCACGTGGGCGAGGGGGATGACATCGACCTTGAAGAGCTCCTCGGCGCAGTCATCGAGGAGGGCAGGGGCATGGGGGATCGCGTCGAGGACGCAGGCGAGGTCGGCGAGCCAGCTGACGTCGAAGAGGCAGCAGATCCCATTCGTGACCCAGAGGGGCCAGCGGAAGAGCACGGCGACCCTGACGATGGACATGTAGTAGTAGCAGCAGTTGCCCCAGTGCCTTTGTCTTTTTTACTTGAGATGTTTAGGGGCGATGTCTTGGCAGCTGTGATTGCTGAAGTTACAGCCCAGGGAGAGGAGTGCCTTGCGGCTGGTCGGTCCTGTGCAGAACCAAATCACAGCCGACGCCCAGAGGATAAGGATATATCGCTTGTGGAGACAGACGGGCAAGTCTGCTTTGTCATTTGGACAAACGCAGCCGCCTCTGTGGGGCGACAAGTTGCGATCGACAAGTTCGATCGCATTGTTTATATTGTCCCTGCCTGGGTGAAAGAGGAATCGCTTGCAGGGGCCAGACTCGTTGTCAGCCGAGTCCCAGCGGAGATGGAGAAGGTGCTTGCAAGGTTGCGTCCTCCTATGCCTAGTTGGTGCTGCCTGCTCTTTCGCCTCCGCCAAGCGCGGCGTTAGGCGGGCCCCCTTTCCGACCATGGCGAGCGCGTTGTGCGCAGGGCCGCCCGTCAGGCAGGGGCGCGCAGACCGACGCCGAAACATTATGAGCGCTTTAGGTGCTCATCGTGCGCGTCAGTCTGGCACGAGCGTTGCGCTCGAGACTTCGAGCCTGCAGACATCGCACTTGCGCCTGGCTCATTCACTTGCCCAGTTTGCACTGCAGCCAAATCATCATCAACCATCAACATCACCACCAACCATCAAAAGAAAAAAGAAAAATCAACCATCATCAACCATCAACATCACCATCAACATCACCATCAACATCTACATCACCATCGGCTGCGCGTCCTGCACGCGCGCTGATTGCATGTAAAGTTGCGCGCCCGCCATCGTTACCATCGTTGCAGCCTTGTCGGATTTAGCGCAGGAAGAGAACCCCTGCTATTTTTTGAGGAGGAGGAGGAGGAGGAGGGGGAGGAGGAGGAGGAAGCGGAGAGGGAGGAGGAGGATGTCATTGCTAACCCCTTTTGAAATCACATGCGCGATCGGGGGAGGAGGAGGGGGGGGGAGGAGGAGGAGTGGGGCGGGGCACAGAAAAAGCACTGACGAGTTCGCGCGCCCGTGATCCAAAGGCACAGAACCAACGCTGGAGTTCACGTGCGGCAGTTGTTGCGCGTCCAGCTTGCCCCCCCTCGGCGCCTCCCCACCATTGTGTGGGGACTGTGCTGCGCCGCGTTTCTTGGGCAAGGGGGGCTCCCTAAGAACCCGCGTCGTGCTTCGCTGGGGGGGCTCACTTGGGTTGCGATGGAGGGTAGTTTTGCCAGTGGCATTTGCAAAACAGTTGGTTTTAACAATGCCATTGCTAAACCATATGATTTGTAATGGTTTTGCGAACGGCATTGGTAAACCAGCTGTTTCTGCCCCCCCTTCGGAGGCCTCAAACCGAAAGCCAGTTGCGAATGCCATTAGCAAAACTATTGCGACATTGACGCCCACTGGCGATTCCCACTGTTGCAGCGCGGGGTCTCAGGGGCTACGCGAGGATAGGTTTGCGAATGGGATTCGAACCGACACCCTGCCATTGCGAACGAGATTCGCACCACAGTTGGCGTGGACCCGCGCGCACAGGGCAGGCGCGTCAGCGCGCAGCCCACTTGGCGAGGGGGTCGTTGTTGAATTTCAAGCCTTGGGGCAGGCCTGCGAGTAACGATTGGCGGCGCCCCGCCCACTGGTCTGCGTGAACTCTCGGGCCCCCCTTCCGTAGCCAAGTTTGGCCTAAGCTTTTGGGGAGTCAGTCAGTTTTGATTGCGCCAGGCTTCAGACCGAACGCACGGGACAATGCCGCCAAAGATGAGCAGAGTTCACCCTGGCGCCCCTGTGGGCCCTCCGCCAGGCTTACCATGCGAGGCGAAGTTCGATGACGAGTTCCCCCACTTCAGGGACCGCATCGGCGACCATGAGATGTCGGACTTGGAGGCGTCCTCGATCCTCGATGCCATGTACTGCCTGGACAGCGACTGCGACTTCCACTGCCTCGACGACGCGGGCGCCTGGTCGTCGACTCGGCATGCCGCGAACGATCGGGGAGACAAGGCGAGCGTCATGGCTCGAAAGAAAAGCGTCGAGACGATAGGTATCCAGCAGCAGCGCTTGGGGCCATTCTTCGAGGACCCTCCTCCAGCCGAGTACGTGGGCGACAAGTGGTCGTTGCGCCCAGCGGGCAAGAGGGGTAACATGCACTGGGGCACTTTGCTTGACGGTGCCGAGCTAGCATTCAAGAGCGACCCAGAGAAGAAAAACAGGGTGCTACAGATCTCGCTGCGGATGGCCATCAAGCACGCCAAGCGCTGCCACTGGCGCACGCCATGGGACGCCTTGAATTTCGTCAAACACCTCGGCATCATCACCGACAACCAGGTCACCGACACTACCAGCATTGAAGTGATAGCCAGCACGAATGAGACAGAGCAAGCGTGGACTTCAGCAAAAAGCAGCAATAGCCATTGGACAGTGGACGGCCTCGGGGGTGTCAAGGAATACAACAAGCAGAAGTTCCTCGTCGTGAGCAGCAAGTACCCGAGGCGCTGGAAGGACTACCACGACTACAACCTGTGCAACATCATCTACAAGCAGACTTCAGCGGTGGACGTGGTGCCTGTCGGCTCCTCGGCCAAAATCTCAGTCTGGGATCATGTGAAGTCGACGACCCAGGAACACGTGGACTTCATGAGCGCGGCGGCGAAGAACCACTCGCATCTCACCCACTGCATGTACGACGTCTGGAAGACCATCAAGCAGTCTCACCCAGAGTGGCACGCTGACATCATGTTGCTGGTGATGCCGCCCGTCCAGCCGGCCGGCACGTGCCGCATCTGCCCGGGGGGGGCCCCAAATCCAGCCCTCAAGAACGTCGCCGATGTTGGGCTTGAGCGGCTCACTGGGAATATGGACGGGGCTGAGGTGCTGAAGGCAGGTCGCCAGGAACGCGAGGACGTCGTGACTGCTGCTGCCAGTGCGCAGGCAGATGGCGCGGCTGCTCGCCCAGCCCTCCAGGACGCCGTCGGTCGCTCAGGCGCGGCTCCGAAGGCAGCAGGACAAAGGGGGAAGCTTGGGGCGGGCGACTCTGCCAAGAAGTTCGCTGAGGTGAGCAAGACCATCGGGAAGGTCAAGCCCGACAGGTCCCAGACAAATGCCAAGGCGAAAGCGAAAGCGAAGTCTGCAGCGAGTCGAGCTTTGCCAGTCATTGGCCAGGAGGATGTGAGCGAGTCCATGGAGCAGCGCACCGTTCTGACGTACCTCTCGAGCTTCTTCAATGGCATGCTGGAGATGGACCCGACGCAAGCGAGGGTCGTCGAGGCTTTCAAGGCTTTGGCGCTTGTGGGGGTCGTTGAAGGGTCGGTGGAGTTGGTCATCAATGGCAAGCCGAAGAAGATCGACAGCCTTTCAGAGCTTCGCTTAGCGATGAAGGCGGAGTTCCACCGAGGCACGAAGTTGGCGCCTCGCCCTTCCGACGAGGATTTCCGCGGCATATCGGTGACTGACGTGCTGCATTCGATCTCCGCCGACCGCCCTGCTATCGGTGTCGCTAACCCCGAGGTTACCAGGGACGTCTTGAACGACCTCCTCACATCGTCGAAGGATTCGTTGGCCAGCGTGGCGAAGTACTTGGACAGCTTGCCTCTCGCGACGCCTTTCGAGATGCAGCCAACAGTGGCAAGTGCCATGAGCCAAGCCATGATGTCGCTATTCGCCAAGGTGGCCGAGTTCAACGGTGTCATTGGCGACTTGGCTACGGGGGTCCAGACCATCTCCGAAGCGTGCGGGACGAGCGTGGACATTCTCTTGCCAGATTCGTGGGCCCACGCTTTAGTGCTCTACGAGAAGATCGTCGGTGCGGGGCACCAGTCGCTACTGGACCCAGGAGTAGCGCAGACCTGTGATATCCACAAGGCGAGTTTCGACTTCTTCTTCGCCATTCGCATTCGCATGGCGTGCTACGTACTCAAGTCTTTGGGCCAGCAGACTTACACCAAGCAAGAAGGGCCAGTCACGGTCCAGACGGCGTAGCTCCCGCCATTGGTTCACCAGATGTTCGAGGCAATGTTCACCAATATCAACCAGAGCCTGAGTAAGTACGACATGAGTTGGAAGCCGACCGAGGAGTTGGTTGGTCTCCTGGACGCCTTCAAGATGTCTGAGTTGCCGTTCAAGGACTTTGTCGTGGCAGCCTGCGTGGTGGCCCTGCGCTTGCACGAGCACTGTTTGGAGCACGACGGCAAGAAGTTCCAGGAGAGGAAGGCGCACTTCCAGTCGGAGCTCTCGAAGACCAAGAAACAACACGAGCTCATTGCGATCATCAAGTCTAGTCTGCAGCACGCCGTGAAGGTTCCAGAAAACTTGCACGTCTTCCCCCAGTTGAAGGCGCAGGTGATCAGCGACTGCTTGAAGGAGCTCGAGAAACAGAACCATCAATGCGTGGAGTCTTGTGCGATCCTCTCCAACCCGCTTGACGCGCTGGTGCGGGCGCTCGTGGTGAAGTGGGCGCCCGTCACGGACACCAAGTGCAAGTCCGTCGCGCCGATCCTGGACAACCAGTGCACTGGGGATCTCACCCGCGAGGTTCGGCAGGCACTGAAGGAGCTAGTGACGGCCCACAGGGACGACGAGAGGTTGAATGACACGAGCATCGACTTAAGGCCAATGACCGCGTGCGAGAAGAAGGTGATGATAGCTGCTGCGAACGTCTTCTTCCTACGCATGGCCGGTTCGGCCTGCGATGACGAGCCCAACGGCAACGTCGCGATCAGCACCAACACTGGTACAGACAAGAAGGGTAATCCCAGGAAGACGCGCGAGCTCGCGAGGACCGCCGACATGCCGACCCCCCTGCAGTTCTGGGGCAGGGTTGTGGACGAGACGACGGCGGCCTCGCTGCCGAAGTCGACCTGCCTGCCGCTGTACCCCCAGGAGTCATCGATGCCACGTCTGTACATCGACGGCGCGATGTACTCCAACTACGACAAGGCGGACGTCTGCGTGGCATGGGCCATCAAGCCACTGCCCAAGGAGAAGGAGCCGAAGGCTCAGGGATCGAATCAATGACCGAAGCTGGCCATATAGCCCAGCCTCCATGCCTCTGACCATATGCGGTCTTAGTGTTTGGGGGCGTGGTCAGGGCTATAAGGCGAGTTGCCCAAGTTCAGGTGTAAGCCTTCAGCGTGGGGTGGGCGGGTGGGCGAGGGTGCCATTTCTGGGTTTGGGTTCGGGAGTTCTGGGCAAGCAATTGCTTCGATCCATCTCGAAGGCGACGGTGGTTCAGGAGGACGGCGCGGACACCTCAGACATTAAGCGTCGCAAGAAACAGCTCGCAGAGGAGGAGCGCCTGAGCAAGCTTCCAGTGGCGACCCACCGCCTCGAGTGGAGCAGCACGTTCACAATCAAGTGTGTCGTGGACGGCAAGGATAAGGATGTGACCCACTCGCGCCCTGAGCTGGATGACCTCGGGATCCCACGGCGCAATGGCAAGCTTTATCGCGAGCCTTGCGCTTGGGATGGAGTGGAGTTGACGAAGAGGGCTGCAACGGCAGCGGCGGTCCGACCTTTTGCCCTGAAGTGATGGGCGCGCTCTGTGCGGCTGCCTCTCATCCTCCAAAGGTTCACAGCATAGTTATTCATGAGACATGTGTTTTTGAAATTTATCTTCCTCTCTTCCTCTGGTCGCGGTCGTTTGCTTGTGGAACGGCAGCTATTGCTGCTGTGACTGCCTCCTCTGACAGTTTGGATGATGGCAGCTATTGCTGCTGCTACTGCTGCAGTGGAAAAGAGTCGTAAAAATCATCGTCGTCATCATCATCATCATCATTATCATCATCTCCATCATCTCCATCATCATCACCATCGCCATCATCATCATCACCATCATCATCGTCATCGCCATCATCATCGTCATCGTCATCGTCGCCATTTTCCTCCTCCACCTCCTCCTCCTCATCATCATCATCAACATCATCGCCATCATCAACGCCATGCCCACCCTGGTGCACCCGTCGTACGTTTTCGCGCCGCATAGGGAGCCCCAACTACGCCGCCAGTGGGTGGTGTCGCATGCGGTTTCGCGCCCAGTCTGGCGCGCCCCTCACACGCTTTCGTGCCCCATACGGAGCCCCGACTACGCCGCTGACCCTCCATGGGGGCCTCCAAAAAACAATTGTAAGAATGACGAACACGCATTAAGCAGTTTTCAGAGGGGGGAACGGGCTAGTTTTCTAGACTCCCCCCCCTTATAAGAACTGCCCAACCCCTCTGGTTCGCAACGCCTCGTCGCCACTTCCGCCCCCGATACGCCAATGCCACGCTATCACCAACCGCTCGGCAACGAGCCGAAAGCGCAGCACCTGCAGCGTAGGCGGGGAGACCCGCAAGATAAAGCGCCTCGCAGACTTGACAAGGCGCAACTATTCCTGCCACAGCGCGGCAACGCGCCCGATAACCACCCATGCCTCCACAGCCTGGGTTTGGTTATCTTCGCCAGTATATGGTTTGCGCTGGGAGCGGCAATCGGACACATGCGCCGAGGAGACAATAGCACCGATGGGCAAACACATTGCCCCTACTGGGACCCCCAAGGCAGCGTACCTTTTCGCGAGTACGTCTACGAGGTCAACGCGTGGCTTAACGTCACGAGCGGGCGCATGACGCCACAAGCCCAAGCAGCCGCCATACAACGCGGCTTCGGCGGCCTCGCGAGGACACTCGCCATGAGGGTACCACCTGACATCATAAACTATGGTGCGGACATCGACGGCGTCCACACCGACCCAGCAACATACATCATGTTCCTCCTAAGCATGAAGTTCGAACGCCTGGAGGATGAGCGCCAACTCACCTCAGGCACTCAGCTCATCGACTTCCACGTGCCTCACGGAGAACAAGTCGACGTAACCCTTACTCGTTTCGAAATGGGTGGGCTTTGACCTTCCCAACTTCCAACTACTTGCGACTATCCTATTCCGCGCCTTAGGCGTCGGCAACCAGCGAGCCACGCAACTCCCACAACCACTCAACCACCAAATGCCCCGAACACAACAACTGTATGAACAACTGTGTGAGATGATGCGCTCGATAGGCCATTTGTCAGAGCGGTCCTCTGGCAACATAGGATCAGTGTTTGGAAGGGGAAGGGGAACTGGCAGTGGAAATTATTCTGCAACCTTCACCTCTGAAACTCAGCCTGGCAACAGGCCCACGAACATCTGGGCCGGCGATCGTGGTGAATCTATTGCTCTACTAGCAGGGGGCAGACCGCAACCTAGCTGGGCAACCAGCCCTCCTCCTAGAGAACCTCAGCCCCGCCGCTCTCTATGGGGAGAAGCGAACTCCCTAAACGACGGAGTATCCACCTACCTAGGTGATGACGACTTCGACTCAGGCACCGACACCGACGCGATATCGCCAGATGACGTCGAACCGTTGGACTGGTCAGATCTCGTGCAAATGGAAGGTGGCAAGCAGCGTGCCGAGCATGTGTTTAGGTTATTACAACATGCAAAACGTAGGTGGAGGAGGATTACACGAAAACCAGTGCGTCGTGTTAGGAGGAGGATAAGGAGGAGCTTCAGAGGCAAAGGCAAAGGCAAACGGGGTCGCCGAAGGTTGAACGGACGAGGCATCGCGGCTTTCCCCCAGAGGCTCTCAGATGATCATTATGATGAGATATTTATTCGGGGGAAAAGGTCGTGGAAAAAGGCCGCGGGGAAACCTCGGGCAAAGGCAGAGGTAGGCGGGGGAACCCGCGAGGTAGAGACGGCCAGATCTTGAAATGCCATGAATGTGATATCACCGATCACCTCGTGAAGGATTGCCCAGTGAAAGGGAGTGGAAAGGGTAGATCGTCCGAAGTCCATTTGGGCTCAAGTGAACTTGCTATTGGGTATCTTAGCCTCCAAGAGTTCAAGGCTGTGGAACAGATATTCTTCACTTGGGTCGGCAACGTGGACATGCTGGGCGAGATCGAGGCGCGCGGCCGCGGGCTCTGCGCGCACACCCTCAAGTACCTCCGCAGGTGCAACGTCGGAGCCATCGAGCCGTGCTGGTGGAGAACGGAACGCTGGGAACAGACCCTTTCCTTCCTTGACTGGATGTTCGGCAACCCAGGCAACATCGTGGCCTTCGAGAGCAGCGGCGAGGACCAGATGGAGGCCGACACTGTCGAGGTCACCCCCTCGGAGATCGAGCATGACCTCCGGCATCAGTCAGACCTCTTGCCTGGGAAATGGCCTACTCCAGTGTATCCGCCAAACTATTGCGATTTGATGGAACTGGGGGCTCAGGCCTTCGCCGTGGGCGTGCCGGGGAATCCTCGCGAGCCACCTGGTATGCTCGCGCCGGGTGTGCACGGGCCATGCACGGTGCTGCAGACCCTCATGCAGATGCATGTTGCTCAAGCTGAAGAGAATCCAGAAAGTCAGCAAAGTGTTGAGAGCGGCCACGTATTGCTGCAGGACTCCGACGTCTGTGATGACTCGGACTTGCTGACGGTTGCTTTCTCTCCCATCGACAGTTTGCTTCCCGACGATGTACAGCGGCACCTATGGCATGCAAAGGGGCGCTGGCGCCAAGCCCTTCAGAGGGCCATCGCGAGGCGTGAACAGGCGCCACCTCCGCCAGGACGGGGTCTCCAGGCGGCGGGGCGTCACCCCAGCCATGCGGCCATGCGCAGCATCATCGGGCAGCCCCCTCACGACTATGCTCAGCCTGAGGCGCACGCCGTGCTCGGCAACGAGCCTGGTCCGACCGCCGCGCCACCAGCGCCGGGACAGCCCAGCGGTGCCCAGACGCCACCACAGCAGGGAAACCTGCCTGCCCCGAATGGGCCGATGAGTCTTATCATTGGCAAACCTACTTCAGAAGCCGAAGATGAGGACGGCTGTGGATTGTGCGAAGACGAGACCACCATCCTCATGATGAGCGCCAACGGCGAAGACGATGAGGTGGACTTCGACGGAGACGAGACCGACGCACAACCACCCGCACAAGGCCTCATCATGTCCGACCCTCACCAGCAGGGAGACCTGCCTGCCCAGGATGTGCCGCCCACGCCTGCCCAGGACACAACGCCAGTTCCTGCCCAGGCCATGCCAGCAGCATCATCCGACGACCAGGCCAGGAGGTCTCGCTCGCACACACGTCCTAGAGACGTCCCACACCCCCAAGGACGACTCCCACGTGAATATCGGCAGGCGGCTCCATCAGAGCATGCTGCCCGACGTGGGGGTCAGCTGCTAGCCTGCAACGATCCCAGGCGCAGAACGGGCGAACACTCTGCCTTCGGACAGGGTAGCCCTATCTACAGGGACGCCCAGGGTAAGTCCATACGGGGTGGTTATCAGGTCGCTACGAACATTCGACGTCCTGATAAAGAGGCAGCGCGGAGACAGCTGAGAGCCATCATCGAGGAGCGCCGCCGCTACAGGCCTAACGCTGCTTGCGGCCCGTGCTCACAGGAGTTCCAGGAAGACCGGCCTGGCTGCCCTGTTGGCCTCAGTGACCTCCTAAGCCCTAACAGGGGCCGCGCTCCTGCAAAGGAGGGTCATCCACCTCTTGTGCACATGACCCAAGAGGAGATCAATGCGGTCAACAGCCTCAACGATCCTCCTGCCCAGGGGGCGCGCTCTCCGCGGGGAAGCCCGCCTGGTGTCTCCAGTCAGGCTCGCACGTGCGAGATGACGAGCGATGACGAGCAGGAGGTCCAACGAGTCGCAGCAGAGGCAGAACGCAAGCGGTTGGCGGAAGAGCGCAGCCGCGAGGCAACTCGCCGAATGCTGCTGGAGTCGCAAACCGAAGCAAAGAAGCCACCGACGATCCCAAAAGTTTCGGAAAGCGAGACTCGTGAATATAGGACGCCCTCAGGCGAGAGACAGAAGATCCTCTCTACCCGCTCTGAGGAGCTCGGGTTCAATGTGCAGATGGGAAGGCCCCTCGCAGAGGTGCCGAAGTCAACAGCTCGAGCAAGCCCTGCACATAGGACTGACCCCAGGCAACAGCCTCAGGACTCCCTGGAGATCCACAGGCGTCAGCCGAGCCGGAGTGGCTCCATCGCCAGCAAGGCCAAGGCGTTTGAGCGTACAGGGTATACCCCTACGCCTGCATCGCCAGCGGCGACACGCTCCGAGGAGTCCGAGGAGGGTGTTATGCCTCGGGGCAGCTGGGCGCCTACGATCAGGAGCAGCGCCGGCCGAGAGATGTCGCGGGGAAACCCGCCAGGCGCTGCAGCCGCAGCATCTTCATCATCAGGGGCCGCAGCCTCGTCAGCAGCAGAGGCTCCATGGCGGGGAAACCCGCCGGAAGATGAGCTGCGCCATCCAGGCGACACCTCATTCACGAGTGGAAGCCAGGAGTTGATTAACGATTGACGTGCTCTACGGAAGCTTCCACCGATACGTTCGGTTGACGAGGTGTTCATGGCGAGCTGCCGAAAGAGGAATATCATTCCCAGCACTAACTACAAGCTCAAGCAGTTCAGCAAGTGCCTTAGTAAGATCTGCAGGCACGCGCCCGACAAATCGCACAACCCAGTGTGGAAGCTGAGGACGTTCGACGACCACGATGGCTGGATCA